CAGAGACGAAAGATTTTACTTTCCAGCAGGACAACAATCCAAAGTATACATCCAAATATACTTATGCTTGTTTGAAGGATCGATAGTAGATTGTTCTTGAGTGGCCTGTTCGGTCTAAGGATTTATATCTCATTAAAAATATTTGGTGTAATTTGAAAAAAGCAGTGGTAATGTGAAAAACAAAGATTATCAGTGATCTGGAAGCTTTTTCAAGCAAAGAATGGGCCAAGACTGCAGTAGACAGGTGACAGAAGCTTCAAAGCACTCACAGAGTTTATTGGAGATTATAAAGAACAAAACATTGTGCACCAAATTTGACTTTTGGGGGTTTAATAATTTTGTATATGAATGTTTAGAGCCAATTAGATTTTTCTTTTTCATTATTCATCAACTTTACTTTCTCAGAATTACTCAAGTGTGCATTGATAAAATTTTTCTAATAGTTTACTGATGCCTTTGTTGAATTGTTTTCATAAAATGTTCTCGACAGCAAAATGCCTTGCAGGTCAAGGGTGATTAATAATTTTTATTGCAACACTGTGTGTGTGTGTGTGTGTGTGTCAGGTTTTACAGGTGAAGAACTAAATAGGGAAGTAAAAAAACTAGTGCTGTTGGTAATGTGAAAAACAAAGATTATCAGTGATCTGGAAGCTTTTTCAAGCAAAGAATGGGCCAAGACTGCAGTAGACAGGTGACAGAAGCTTCAAAGCACTCACAGAGTTTATTGAAGATTATAAAGAACAAAACATTGTGCACCAAATTTGACTTGGGGGTTTAATAATTTTGTACATGAATGTTTAGAGCCAATTAGATATATATATTTTTTCATTATTCATCAACTTTACTTTCTCAGAATTACTCAAGTGTGCATGTATTTATATATACATAATAAATATACACAGTACTCACACATACCTGATGTAAACAAAAACTTTACATGTATTTACATGTCTATATTTATATTCATATAATTTATACTATATATAAATATATTAAATATATAAACATATTTTTTTCTGAAATGTAAACATGCATGTGTGTGTATTTATATATACATAATAAATATACACAGTACCCACAATATTATGTAAACAAAAACTTTTATTTCGGATGCGATTAATCGCAATTAATCGTTTGACAGCACTAAAAAAAAAACAAATGAGATGCAAACTGCTATCTCAATTTTGTTCATGCAAACTTGTACTTCTGTTATAGGTGAGCCACACATTCACAGATTATGGTCCAGGCCTTCGCTTCATCTCTTTTGAACATGGCGGTCAAGACACCAAGTATTGGAAGGGCTGGTTTGGAGTGAGAGTGACTGGAAGCTCTGTTACAATAGATCTCTAAACACCAATTAGACAAAATAATGATTGCTTGAAAAAGACCAGATGTATTTTCTCGCAGCTTGCTTTTAGTTTTGCACATACTGCACTAGGTGTAATAGTACAAATAGTATAAATGTACATGTAATGCTAGGCCTTAAAAAAAAGAATCTGATCAGATTAGAATTCATTTTAGGTTTTTTTTTTAGAGGTTCCTATTTCTGTTCAACCACTAACTACCTCTATATGCCCCTGCAAGCTATGCATTAAGTTAGCTTACACTAACAATGCACTTCTAATGAAGTTACTATATGCAATATATCTTCAATTAGCATAATCTCCTAATGTGTTATGCAATATAAATAGGTCTGTATCATGCACACTTAAAAATAAAAGGAGTGACAAAACCTGATCTGTTTTAGACCTTCCTTCATCAAACGATATATTACATTTATAGTTTTGCACTGAAACATTTGCGCTTCTATGACTTGGCCGTTTTCATCTGAGTGCAAGCGAACAAGTTCAGGTCAGATGAAGACTGTTTTTGAACTACCATTCAGAAGTTTAGGGTTGGGGAGAGTTTTTAATGTTTTTGAAAGAAATCTCTTACGCTCACCAAGGCTGCATTTATTTCATAAAAAATGCAGTAAAAGTGTAATATTTTGAAGTATTATTACAATTTATTATTACAACTTATGTGGTTTAAAATTTAATTTATTCCTGTGATGTAAAGCTGAATTTTCAGCATCATTACTCCAGTCTTCAGTGTCACATGATCCTTCAGAAATCATTCTAATATACTGATTTGCTGCTCAACAAACATTTATTATTATCAATGTTGAAAACAGTTGTGGAAACAGTGATGCATTTTGTTTTTCAGAATTCATTGATCCTTATATTAGCATATACTGACTGTGGGATGCAGGAAAATAAGGCTCAGAGAAGGAAATCGTTTTATATTTGTTTTCAACATTTAATAACCAAATTTGAATTAAAAACTAATCTGTTAAAAACCGCTTGTGGTCAAAAGAACAATAACTATCATGTATGTCACATGTCACAAAATAAATTAATCATAAACCAAAAGAATAACAACTGTATCTTAATTTTCTTCAGTCAACAGGTCACAAATTGTCTAAAATAGCTTTGTGCAATCATACATAATGTAATACTTGTTCAGGACAATAATGTCACATAAAACATCACAATTAACAATGACAGTGAAAATAAAACTGAACAGAGTGAGTGAATGTCTTTTCACAGGGAGATTCTCTGATAAATATAATGGATTATGATATTTTTGGTTTTGTACATACTGACCAACTTTCACGATGTGATTGTACACTCAGATTCAAGTAGTGTGTGTGTGCATCAGTCTCCAGCGAATACATTTTGGTTTAAATGTCAAGGGCTGAAAGGGATGATTATCAAATGGTGTACAATAATACAAAAAAATATGAGTAACATCATGACATAACCCTAACCTGTGTATGTTTGCCCTGACATGAGTTTTTCTCATTCGGCTTGTGATTGCTTCTGCTTGCAAAAGGCCTCAAACTGCTGCTGTTCAAGTTCAGTCATGACTTTGTTCAGGGCATAAATCTGTAACACACCAAAAACAGAACAAACAAACTGAGATGAATTGATCTGAATTGAAATGAAATGGAAATAAACAAAATTGGAAGATTTTTAACATTTAAAATAAAGAAATGACAGAGTGAACATTAAATAAAAAAATGCAAGTAAATGAGTAATTGATCATACTGATCGTGCAACTTTGTACAGACAGTTACAATGATTTCTGAAGGATCGTGTGACACTGAAGACTGGAGTAATGCTGAAAATTCAGCTTTGCATCACAGGAATAAATTACATAATATTACTCTTTTTTGGATCAAATAAATGCAAAATGCAATGTGACCTCTGCTCTTTGTCTCTGCTTTAGCTCCTGCTGGGCTGATTTCTGTTTGGTTCTGTCTCCACGGGTCGGTGTTTGCTGCTTCTGTTTGTCTTTTCGACATGCTGGCTCCATTTTAGAAAAAGATGAGTCCAGATGATAATTTCACTGAAATAAAAACAGGTTACTGAAGCCACACATTTCAAACAGCTAATAGTATAATGTACATCAGAGATTTTCAATCTTTTAGATGCCACATATACATTTAATGATGTACAAGGGACTCCCATCCTCAAATTTAAAAGCATTTATATAGTTTCTTGTATAAAGACACACTTCATACTGTGAAAAACTAATATTATAAATGTCAAAAAAACAAAAATATTTGAAAATAGTATATTAAAAGCCTGCTCATTTTAGCACTGTACATGTACTATTTATTCACTCATATGTATCTAAATTATGTTTATTTATTTTATAAATGTATGTTTTTTTTTAAATGTACACAGTTTTTATCATTTCCACGAACTAGCGTTCGGTGGGTTTTTGTCATTTTAAAACAGCTGGAATAGTTTATTAAATAACACCGTATGTGAAAGTGTATGTTCCTTTTCGTTATTATTTCTGATTAATTTAGAACTAAGTGTAATTTTTTCAGAATAGTAATCCATAGCTTTCTATTTATTAGCATAGCACGTAAGCCCTTATCGCACAACAAACTCAATCTCTAAAGACTATAAGAAATACAAACAAACGAAAACAAACAAAAAAAAGGCTACCTAATCGTACCTTATGATTTCTAACGAAAACAATCAACAAAGATGAAGCTAGTACGCGGTTTAGCAGGCTTGTGGTGTCACTGATAAATAAACCCGGATAGAGAGAGTCTTCTTTGCTAGAAGGTTCCTATTAACGTTGCGTTCAGATGAGATCGACGGGAATTAAAAGGTATTTAGTGAAACGTAAAATTAATTTATTTTATTTCACTTTAAATTGTATCCTTTTTAGGTGTAATAACACTAAACATGTATTAGTATTGTATAATCGCTTTTTTGTAGCTAAGGTTTGTGTTTATATTTCAAATATTCACTGGAAAATGTGTGACAACTAGCCCCGGTCTCTCTTATTAGTTATATGAAACAATGAAGCGTTGCAAAAAATCCATAAAAACCCTTATAAAGTATAAACGAATATAACGTACGGTGTCATAATTAAAGTTTCTTTCGTTTTTTCCAGCATTTGTTGCTTGCAACATTAAAGGCAAACACAAGAGGTCGCTCTTATACAGCTATTGAAGATTGAGACCGATTGATACTTTTGCTAACACTTGATTTATGGTAGTTCAGTACATTAATTTATCTTGTTTGTGTGCATTACATTAAATTAACCATATGTTATTTTTTATTCTGTAACAACTGGACGGAGTGAGTTACTTCAGTATCTAGAGACCAAAGTTTCACATATATATTTCTAACATACCAGCCCCGAAAGTGCTAAATCATTCAGAACTAGTAATAAAAACATTTCACTCTAGTTTTACCTCCCTGTCACTTTGGAATTTAAGTGTATTCCAGTGGTTCTATTAAATTACTTGCGTGAAATAATTCAAAAGCTCAGTTTGTTCTTAAGACATTTTTCCCCCCCAGAGCAGGCCTGTCACACATGCTGCGCTGGCAGTTATTGTTATCCTCACGTATCAGACGACAAAAACACTCACATGTCACCAGAAAGACAGAAAACTGTATGTAGAGGTGTCAGGTTGTCAGACACCAATGGACCACCTAGGAAAAAACTGCTAAAAGCTCTCGGCGAAGGCCTACAGATCATCATTAACGTAAATATTGGTTAATCCGATACCTGGCAGAACCTGATGGGGCATAAAAATGTCAAAGAGACTATAAACTATCCCGTTTGGATCGTGTCGTTAGAGTAACAGAAGACTCGTATAATTGTAAAAATGCCCCAAAACAAGACATGTGTGTCATTGATGGGTTTACATTAGTTTTGACCATATATGATGCTGTACTTTTACGAACCCTCACTTGACACTCATATAGCTGTCCTCAAGTTTATGCCTTTTGGCACAGCTGTGCCACATGAAATTTATCATGGCACATTCCGATGTGTTTTCCTGGATTCCTTCCCCAACACAGGAGAGCACTCGCTCTGTAATAATATCCAAGGAAGAACAACTGATCCTAAATGCAACAGACCCCCTCCGACAGATTTTCCACTCAGTCTTAACCCGACCTTTAGCGCCCTAGGAAAAGCTGGCATGCGCGAGGGAGTTCCCATGAGCCACTGCCACAGTCTGCGGAAAGCCAGCCTGAACAAACTGAATGCGGTGGGTCGAGAGGTGCCATGAGCCTGTGACGGCAGATTGTTGTCAGATGCATAAGAGGAGCTTTGCCCACTGCACTTGACCATGTGTTCTTCCCTAATACCAGCACACCTCATTGACTGGAGCAGTAACTCAAAGTGATTTGTCTGTTATCGAGACATTCTTTCACTCCAGAGCGCAGTTCATCAGACAGATGCATGATGGGATTACATCTACAGAGGTAATGAGTCAAGATAGCAGTGGAAAGCAGCTTGTACAGGCCTACATAAAGGGTATAATTTGAAACTGTTGTGATCTAAACATTGTAGGCCTACAGCTTTTGTACACTACAAAAGTTTGGGCTCATTTGATAGTTTTTCATGTAAAGGCTTATTCTCAAATGCATAAAATGTACCAAATGTAATTAATTAATTGATAATAAAAAAAAGTTTATTAAAAAAAACATACACCTATTTTTAAATTTTAATTTTAAACATTTGCTTTCTTCAAATATTATTTTTATTATATTTATAAATATTTGTTTCTTTTTAATATTTTATGTGTGTGTATACTGTATAATATATATA